TGAGCAGGAAGAGCCGGTGGCAGCAGTTTAGACTCCGAGGCTGAAACAGAGGAGAGGAGTCAGGGGGCAGCTGAAGAATCCAGGGAGTCTCCCTCTCTGGCTGCAACAAGCTCCCGTGCCCCCCTCCCCCCATCTTCAAGAATACACAAGATAACAAGGAGGGCACAACAGAGGGCAGAGGTGTGCAGGTATAGTTTGAGACTGCTTGGAAAACATCCAGGAGAGAAGGAACCTTAGAAAGGGTGGAAGGCATGGACCTTCAGTCCCAGTAGGGGCAAGACCTACTGGAAAGGGTTGCTGAGCTATATGCCATTTCCTTGAATAAATAGTTAACTTCACTCACAATGGAGCCCTGCGTCTTTCATGCTGACCTGTGTGAAAGGTCAAACAATTCAGAAGGTGGAAGACAATGTGTCATAGTCCTATACAAAACTCAGACTAATACAGAAGCTGCTTAACACAGGGATAAGGAACCTGTCCAGATGTTATTCGACAGCAACTTCTATCACCCCCAGGGCATTGGGAGTGGGGAGCCCAATATCATTCAGAGGATCTGTGCCCCATCCCTGCCTTATATGAATGTTAGATACGATCAGCATTGATGTGATCTACTAGGGACTAGCGGCCATTGGCAATTAATAACAGTAGCAATATTAATTGTGTAAACAAACACCTAAGAACAATTACTTTCTACAGCAAAAACTAGCAGCTCCCAATACTTGTTGATACCAAGTTCCACATTGTAAAATGTGGCAATGAATTCCAATCTGGCAGCTTTATGTTAAGCATTCCCCTTTGAAATGCTTTTTTAAGAGTACAGCCACCTTAATGTCTGCAACAGAACATCCTGGGAAAATGAAATGCTCCTCCGTTGGTTTCCCTCTGTTATCATTTCTTATGTATGATTTGCATCCATTTATTCTCTGTCATAGAGATTGATCTATTTTTAGCATGCCTAAATGGCAGACAGGCATTGTTAGCAGATGACAGCTTACATCATGTTAGTGACTGACGCCCTAGTATGGCTGGTGTTTGTCTGGTCCCATGAGAGTGTTGCCTGAGTAAGTATTGTGGGGAAACGATGCTTAAGTCAAAATATGAAATTCCATGTTTGCAAGGTGAGTTCCCTCTGAGGTCTGCCTGTGAGGTCCTCTGCTTGCCCAGGCAGGAAGGCTAACAATAGGAAGAAAATCCTTATCACTTCCTCCAACCCGAGAAACAGACTCTTTCTCATCATGCAGCCATAGGGATAGGATGCAGGATCTGTGAACCATCTTCAGAGACAGCCCTACATATAACACATTGCAGTAATCTAACCTAAAGGTTACTGAAAGCAGCCCTGTATAGGGAAGTTTTTAATATTTGGTGTTTCATTATGTTTTTATATCTGTTGGAAGCTGCCCAGAGTAGCTGGGACAACCCAGTAAGATAGGCAGGGTAAAAATAAAATCATCTTTCACCAACAACATCATCATCAACAACAACAGCAACAGAATTAAGCCATCCCTGTCCAGACAGGGGCACAGCTGGGCCACCAGCCAAAGCTGATGGAAGACATTCCGTGCCACTGAGGCCACCTGAGCATCAAGAAACAGCAAAGGATCTAGGAGTGCCCCCAAGCTACGAACCTGCTCCTTCAGAGGAAGTATAACCCCATCAAGAGCAGGTGATCTCCCAGCCATCCTGTCCAGAAAACCACCCACTAACAGTGCCTCAGCCTTATCGGGATTGAGCGTTGGTTTGTTGGCTCTCATCCAGTCCATTAACAAGGCAAGACATTGGTCCAGCACATCCACCGCCACACCAGCAGATGTAAAGGAGATGTAGAGCTGTGTGTCATCCGCATATTGCTGACCACATACAGTGGTACCTCGGGTTACAGACGCTTCAGGTTACAGACTCCACTAACCCAGAAATAGTACCTTGGGTTAAGAACTTTGCTTCAGGATAAGAACAGAAATCGTGCGGCAGCAGCGGGAGGCCCCATTAGCTAAAGTGGTACCTCAGGTTAAGAACAGTTTCAGGTTAAGAATGGACCTCCAAAACGAAGTTCTTAACCAGAGGTACCACTGTACTGCAAAACTCTGGATGACTCCACTCAGCAGTTTCATGTAGATGTTAAACTGCATAGGGGATAAAATTGAACCCTGAAGAACCCCACATTGAATGCTTCATGGGGCCAAAGAGCACTCCCCAAGCATTATTCTCTGAAAACGACCATCCAAGCAGGACTGGAACCACCGCAGAGCTGTGCCACCAATCCCTAACTCAGCCAGCCGGCCCAGAAAGATACAGTGGTACCTCAGGTTACAGATGCTTCGGGTTATGCGTTTTCAGGTTACGGATGCGCTGAAACCCAGAAATACTGGAACGGGTTACTTCTGGGTTTCGGCGCTCTGGCATGCGCAGAAGCGCTAAATCATGCTTTGTGCCTGCACAGAAGTGCCGAATCACATCACGCACGTGCGCAAACTCGGTGCTGTGGGTTGTGAATGTGCCTCCCGCACAGATCACGTTCACAACCCAAGGTTCCACTGTACCATGGTTGGTGGTATCAAAAGCCACTGAGAGGTAGAAGAAAATTAACAGGGACACATTTCCTCTGTCTCTCTCCCAAGAGACATCATCATAGGGAGTGACCAAAGCAGCTTCTGTAATGAAACCCTGATTGAAATGGATCCAGGGCTGTGGGGTACCAGACGTCCCCGTTTCCCTGGGACAGTCCCCGGATTTACAAGTCAGTCCCCATACAAAATCCATTGAAGTTGAAAAGTGTCCCCGGATTCATTGAAAAATATCTGATAACCTTACTAAGGAGGCAACCTGAAGCTTATCCTCAGCAAAGGTCTCTGAAGCACACTGCAAGGTTCCCAGGTCATGACACCTGAGAGGCTTTATTAGACTGAGTTCTGTGTTACTCTTTCTGCAGCGCTCAAAAAAAATCCCCAGCCTTTGAACCTAATTTTCATTTTAAAATATATTTTTTTAAAAAAAAATGGGTTGTGCAGCATTTTGAACAATTGGCTGACAGATGCTAGAGCTGAACTCTAGAACAAAGCTTTTTCTACTCCCCCACCCCAACAAAAATAATTCAGAATGTTCACTTTCTGTGTATTAATTAAACTTCATTTCCAATGCTTTTATGTAAAGTAGTGCAGAATTAATGGCTTGTGCACTCGCAGTCTGCATAACTCTGCCAGGCCTCCACTGCTGCCTGTCTCCATTTTCCCATATTTTATGGTTGCCCAAAAACTATTTTCTCCAGCAGAAATTGCTCAACAAACGACTGTGTCACATTTAACCTAGGTAATAAAGAGCTGGCAGGCATCACCCACTCATTAAGGTGGCTGGGCACCTCATTGGCATTTGTTAGTAATGATTGATAGGATATTATTAGAAGGAATAGTGATAAGCTAGAGCATTTCTAACAGTCTGGCCTATATCCATTCATTCCTTATAGCCATCAAAGAGGGAGTAGAAATAGCTATGGAGCACATCCCATCCTGTCTTTGCAGAACTACAGAGCTCTCATTAATGCAAAGATGCCATTGGAATTCCGGAATGAGCAATTGGCAGAAAAGCGCCCGCGTTCCTAAGCGTGCATTGAACATGTTTGCATATGCAAGAGAAATCATTTTAAAAATATTAATTTCCCCCCAAGGATGGATTGTGTTTCACTGCGATCCCAGGCTCCTCATTTATAAATTGCATGGTTATGGTAAGCCATGCTATGCTAGTCCGGGTTTTTCATAGATATAAAAACAACAACACTCCATTGCAGAAGCCAGCTCAAGCAGGCTATTAAAACCATTGCTTTATAACCACCTAGGATGTCCTTGGAGCATCTGCCTCAAGGGGGTTGTAGAGGGAATGGGGTGAAGGTCACAGGCTGCAATAACACTTCAGCAGTTTTCAATAAGATATTGTAGTATTTCCTCAGAGCTTTCTTAAAGGATGGGTTCAGTTGCCCCGTGGCTCCCTCCCAACCAGAAAGTTCCAGCAGGGGAAGATCAGCCTGACCCCCATTCATAAGCCACAGGACAGAAAGCAGAAATGAGCTTGCTTCCCCAGGAGAACTTCATTCTGTGTCCAAATGCCTGTCAAAAACTCACCTCTTATTCTGCCATTCACAAAATGATCACCCTACTCTAACTTGCCCTATACTTCACTTCCCCTGTGCATTTTCAGACTGTCCCTCTCCTGCTGGTGGCATTCAACAACATAAGAGCAAATTCAAGTTGTGCAGTTAAAGTGGATTTGGTCACTTGCGCAACAAAGCTACCCTCCCCCCATTAAAAAAATCAGACTTTTTGCTGTAAGGAAAGAGATAGGGAAATGCACTGGATAAGCACAGGGAATACCCGCTCAAGGCAACCTCATATAACTTCCCCAGAAACAAATCAGAATAAATGCTCATTAATAGTGGGCTAGTGTATGACTCTGAGCAAATGTTGTGTAAATGAATTGTGACGAAAGATCAGCAAACAGGCCATCTGGAAGGGACCTGTATCTCTGGCCCCTATTCATCTAAAGTCAGTTGTGAATAAGGTTGCAAACCTATGCAAACTTATCAGGGAATCAGCCCCATTGAATGCAGTCTCACCTCTGCTTACGTATCCCTCCAGTTACGTAAACTTCGGGATGCATAAACGGCAAACCTATAAGTATACTTCCGGGTTTTTGCCATGCGCGCAGGTGCAGAAGCACTCTATCGTGCCGCACATGTGCGCAGAAGTGGTCCCTCTGGTTGCAGAAACCTTGGGATCCGACCGGAGCTCCGGAACGGGTCCCACCCGCAACCGGAGGTACCACTGTATAGTGGGACATCCTTCTGAATAAATATGCATAGGACTGCAGTGTAAGTCCCGCTGAAATCAATAGAACAAAAGAAACTCATGTCCCATTGCTTTCAGTGAAATAATAGAATTGTAGAGTTTGAAGGTACCACAAGGGTCATTTAGTCCACAAGGGTCATTTAGTCCAACCCAACAGGTATCTTTTGCCCAATGTGGGGCTCAAACCCACAACCCTGAGTTTAAGAGTCTTATGCTTTACCAGCTGAGCTATCGCAGACTTTTGCTAGATTCGGGCCTTAGGTCATAAGCCTGAGGAAATGAAGATCTTCATTTTTATTCCTCCAGTTCCCCCAGTTTGTAGAACATCCTTCAACGCGTCAATGTGATTCTAATGTGATTTTGTTTTATGAATAGTACTTAAGTTGTAGAAATAAAGAAAAAGTATTGGAATACAACCTGTCTTTCAATGGCTACACATCCTCAATATCTAGAAGCAAAGGTAAAAGACCCCTGGATGGTTAAGTCCAGTCAAAGGCAACTATGGGGTTGTGGCGCTCATCTCGCTTTCAGGCTGAGGGAGCTGCGTTTGTCCACAGACAGCTTTCTAGGTCATGTGGCCAGCATGACTAAACAGCTTCTGGTGCAACGGAACACCATGACGGAAACCAGAGCACATGGAAATGCAGTTTTCCTTCTACCACAGCAGTACCTATTTATCTACTTGCACTGGCGTGCTTTCAAACTTCTAGGTTAGCAGGATCCACTACATCAAGGATGTAGAATTACACTACATCATGGTAGAATTCTGTGTCATTCTACTTTCACTTTTTCAAAAAATATTCTAGTCCTCATGAGTGCAGCTACATCTTTGAAAGTCGAAGCAACAGTTCTGCTTTTGTGCCATCAATCAGTTAATGAAGGAGTTAATATCATGAATTGGAAGACGACAAAATCTTGGCACATTTGCTTGTTTGTTTATTTAAGGCGCCTGCTGTTTAACAGGCTCAATCTTGATTGTGAACATTCTGAGCACATAACAATACTCTTGGTCAACCGGGTGGGTTGGCATATGTTGGATAAGCCTGGCAAAGCAGCACTTGCCCGATTTGCTTGACCCTTTCCAACTTCATGCTGATCCTCTGCAGAAAGCATGCAAGTCAGCTTGCAATCCTCTACATCACAGCACTGACCTGCCTCATTACAGACAGCCACATGGCTGACAAGCATTCACCAATTATATCCCAATCCTATAAAAATGTTGCAAGCAGCAGAAAAACATCCCTGCCCCTATTGTTCCCCCTCCAATGTGTGTGCATACCTCTTAAAGGCACCATCTGTGCATGAAATCCCCAAGTGCCCACTTAGCTTTAAGTGCTACAGTGAGTATGAAAGTAACAATTCCTGAAAAAGTTAAAAGGCAAGAGAGAGATTTCCTTCCTTGCTTGGGCCATGCCCACCATGCTGACTTTGCAATGGCCTCACCTGTCCGATTGTGGGGGCAGTCATCATGGGTCCCACTCAACAGAATGAGCAGGAGTGTCCCCCAATGCAGCCGGACTGGCTTTTCACATTTTTAAACAAGTGAGGTAAAGCATATTACCATCTAAAGAAGAGGAGCCCAATCTGTAAGACCCTGAAAGTCCTGTATACATCATTTTATATGAAGATGGCTTACATTCAGGTGGGCCATTGGCCTATTACAAAATCCTCAACTGTCCCATTTTAAGTGGGACATCCCGGAATCACATAAGCCAGTCCCAGCTTCTGATTGGATTCTGGAATGTCCCATTTTCTGGCAGCTGGGTCGTATGAAAACCAGACTGGAAGATGCTTGTTTTTCATCCGAGCACTCTGACGTGTGTCAGTTGGGTTGCGCCAGAACACCGGAATGAAAGTCACTTGTTTTTTTGGTCTTGCAAGACCAAAAAAATGAGTGTCTTTTGGTCTCATGCTTTTGTGCATGCAAGAGAGCTCAGGACCAAAAAAAGGAGCACCCCAATTTCGGTCCCAAGAATGTTGGAGGGGATGCTTTTATTCTGTGGAATATGAACCCCCAAGGACATAAGAAGAGCCCTACTGCACCAGACCAAGAGCTCACCTGATCCAGCACCCTTTGTCTTATAGCAGTAAAGCTTCTGCTGCTGTTCCCCAGCCACCATTAATGTGGTATTCTGCCTCTGAACATGGATTCCATGGGTACAAATCTAGCAAGAGTGCTAAGCCCAAAACACTGAGGCATAGTGTCTGGAATAATGCAGGTGGTCAATGGGTTTGATGCAGACTTGGCATGAATTAGGCATACTTGGGTGCACATCCTATTCCAAATAAACAGCCCAAATGCACATAAGAAAGCAGACAGAGGATCCACAACCCACTCTGCACGTTACTGCAGCCTTACCAGCCCTTTCACCTCCCTTCTGCCACAAAAATAACAGGAGAAGAGCCGTCATGTTCACACTCGACATCTTTATTACAGTCTGTTCATTTCCTAATTACCACCACAAACTGTTTGCCCTGCCTGAGGGCTATCTTCTTCAAGAACCAACCAGGCAAATGTGATATGTTTAGCTAAAGAGAGCACTTTTTGAAGTCTACATTGCGAAAAGAAATTTATGGAAATCCTGTTATACAGACAAGCTGAAACGTTGCTCTGTGCCAGCCTTCTCCAACCCGGTGGCCCCCAGACCTTTGGGGCTCCAGCTTCCATCAGTCTCAGCCAGCATGGCTATGCCACATGGGGCTGGCGGAAACTGGAGTATGAGGGCAGAAATGGGTTGAAGAAGGCAACTTTATGCTAAGCGCTGCTTCTCCTGATGATGATTTGTTAGTCAAGTTGTCTTGCCTAGGGCAACCCATCGTTGCTTACAACCAAACAAACTGACAAAAAAACCCCACATAGAAACAGTAAAAACCAAGAGGAAATAGAAATGCATTAAAAACATCCTTCCTACTTCTGAAAGGCCACAGGCCTAGTAACAGAGGAAAGCTTTTGCCTGGCACCTAAAGATATATAATGATGGCACCAGGAGAGCCTCTCTAGGGAAAACATTCCACAAGTGGGAAGCCACCACAGAGAGGCCCCATTCTCGTGTCTCCACTCTCTAGGTCTCTCATGAAGGAGGCACGTGAAGAAGGGCCTCAGAGGATGATATCAGGGTCTGGCTTGGCTCATATGGGGGGAGGCGGTCCTTGAGGTATTGCAGTCCGGAGCCATTTAAAGCTTTATAGGTCAAAGCCAGCACTTTGAATTATGCCCAGAAACTGATTGGCAGCCAGCTCAATTGGGCCAGAATTGTTCAAACCATCCTACCCCAATGAGCAACCTGGCCACTGATTTTGTGCCAGCTGAAGTTTCCAGACATTCAACAGCAAGGCCATAGCTGAAGTTTGTGGTGCACTCAATAAATGGTTAAAGGAACGCTTTTTGCTGCTGCATGACATAAAAGCTCCAGTCTTCAATTCATTATTTCTGATACGTTTATATGACAAATGTCAGCACAACAGTGACCACAATCTTGTTTTCAGGTAGAACAGCCACGCAGTTCCTTGCAACAAGCAAAACACTGTAATGCAAAATAAAAAATAAAAATGCTGCCAAACTAAACCATCAGATGCATCTTTCCATTTAACATGCAGGTTTGTCTGTCTTTAAATGCAGACTGGCATCAGCTGAAGGGGCTGATAATTAATGAGATCAGGGTGTGGAAGAGAGAATTTAATATTTTTGTTCCCTGCTAGAGCCCTAAGGAAAATCAGGAGAATCCCTCATCACTATCAATTTAAAGACCTATTTAATGTCACATCAAGGGTATTTCCAGATGTCCTTTTTATAGGTTCGAAGCAAGAGGAAGAACAAGCAAGTGGTAGGTCCTCTGCATGGAGAATGTGGAGAAATGCTATTGGGTGACAGAGAAATGTGGAACTATTCAACACCTACTTTGGCTCCGTCTTTACCCAAAAGGAAAGCAATGCCCAACCTGGTGGTAACAGGTTGTAAGGAAGGATCTGCAGCCCAAGAAGGGAAAGAGGCGGTTAAGGGGACACCTAGCTACTTTAAATGAATTCAAATCTCCAGGCCCTGATGAGCTGCATCCAAAAGTATTAAAGGAGCTTGTGGATGTAATTTCAGAGTCTTTGTCTATTATCTTTGAGTCAGCAAGCACTTAGAAAAGGATGTGGTAATTACTCAAAAACAAGTTATGCCAAATGAATCTCATTTCTTTATTTTTTTGATGGAACTACAAGCCTGGTGGATCAGGGGAATGCTGTGGACATAATGTTTCTGGATTTCAGTAAGGCTTTTGATAAAGTCCCCCATGATATGCTTGAGGACTAGCTGGTAAAATGTGGACTGGACAAGGAAACTTGTAAGGTAGATTTGTAGCCGGTTGACTGGCCGAACCAAAAAGTGCTCACTAATAGCTCCTCGTCATTCTGGGGAAATGTGATACACGGGTTACCACAAGGTTCTGTCCTGGGCCAATTGTTGTTCAACATCTTTATAAATGACTTGGATGAAGGTATTAAGAGGGTGCTCATGAAATTTGCAGATGAAATGATAGTATGAGGACAGATATACATGATCTTTGCTTTCAGGGACTCCTACAAATGAAATCAAAATAAAAGCAAACAATCATATCATATACCATTCAATTATATCATATGATATTATATCATGCAATCAAATCACATATCATGCAATCATATATCATATCATACAATGATATCATACAATCAAATCAAAATGATGTGTAGATGGCCCAGTATGAATCCATCACCAGTGCGCTATTACTGCACCAATTGCATGCCACAAAATTTAGCTGCAAAACCACCACTATGGTGGTTCCCCACATGTGGCCCTCAGATGGTTATGTTGATCCATGGAATAGGGGAAGAGCAAAAATATAAAAATACTTTTTTTATAAGGAAACATGCTTTCATTTTCTTCTAGCCATTAATTTTTATTTTATTTGTTTTAGAGAAAATGAGGATTAGCTATGATTGTTTCTTTATCCCAGTAGCCGCAGGTGCAACCTGAAACCTGTTAACAACTAGCAGCAACTAATCCCATTAAATCTGCAAAACTCCTCCAGGATTCCATCTTAAGCTGTTACAACTGCAGACTTCATGCCTTTCACATCATGCTGGCTTTTTCCTTGCCCTGTAGCTCTATGGTAGAGCACGTGCTCTGCACACAGAAGTTGCCAGGTTCAATACCCCTGTTTGAAACATTCAGAAAGCCTCTGCAGTCAGTATATATAAGGCAGAACTTGACAGACCAATGACCTGACATGATCCTATGTCTTCCTCATCACCACTCCATTTTGCCTAACACCCAGACTCAAAAGGTCTCAAAAGCTTGCCCACCATTTTGTGATATTTTGGTTGGTCCCAATAACAATACTGTCTGATGGAAGGGATATAGTAAAAGAAACTGATTTTGCAAAGGAAGGTTCAAAGGAGTGTAAAACAGGGCGTAGAAACAAAATTACTCATAGGAACAATGAGATCCCTGTTTGGTGTAACAACCAAAGAAGAAAGGTATTTATTTTCCCCATGGCGTGTCATCCTTCCACTGATACACCTGTACATTTCACTGTGGGAGAGATGCATGACTTTCCATTTCAGTGGTCCTCCAGGAGGTATGAAATGCAGACACACACACCTCTTCTGCATACACTTTCCCTACTTCATGACAACATCCTAGCCTAGCCCAAGTCTTTATACAAGCCATGCACAGAAGAGTCACATGTGGAATGGTGCCACCACTACACAGCTTGCCTGAGGAATTCTCACACTTGCTCCATTCATTGTCAACATTGCTATTTAAAGAATTTTTAGCTTGCTCTCCCAAAGCAGCTTGCAGATCACAACAAACAAGAAGGTCCCTTCCTTCAGTCTTATGAACTAAAAAGGGCAAGACACAAATGGAAGAGGAGGTAGAAGGGCAGGAGGGAATAAAACTCAGGCATTACTTCTTAGTTACAAAGTTCTTGTAAGGAGAGCTGAAAGTTTTCAAGGAGGAGGAAGGGGAGCCAAAAGTTGTTGGCCTTTCTGGAGAGGAGATTGGGAGTCTTTACTAGGGTTGCCATATTTCAAAAAGTAAACACCAGGACATCCCAAAAGTTGTTGAGCTATTCTTTTACAAAAATGCCCCCCCCAAAAGACGCTTTCTTGATTGACTTGCCTAAGATCCAGGACAAAGCACCCTAGGCCTTACCATCTATCCCCATCAGCCCAACGAAATGGCAATTGTGGATATTGACAATTTGCAAGCATGTTCTCTGCACAGCCCTGCACGTTGCAGCACCCAGTGATCCAGTTAAGGAGTTTACCACGCAGTCCTGTGCATGATTAGTTTGTCACTTTGTTGTCAATCATTCACCACCATGAACAAAAAAAGCAGGCTCAAAGGTACATAATCCACCTGAAATCCAACACTGCCAAAGGACCTAGGGACAAGGCCTTGGCTAGCCATCAAGTAGCCCCAGGTTCTAGACAGCTGCAACCAGGGGTCCACCAAATGGAGGAGTGGATGGGTGGATAGAGTCCACCCAACAAGAAACCTTATGTAGGCTGCTGAAACATGTTTCCTCATGCCACTGTATTCACAGGGTGCTGCTTTCAATTATATATCAAAATGCTTCAGAGCATTCATCTCATCTTCTGCTTTCCAACATACGGCCAGGCAGTTGGTGTATCAAATGGACCCGCATTGTCTCATGCGTTGTTATTTTTTTGCTCTTGCTCACCCTGTCTGTCCCATCCACCTGTTGCCTCTTGGCTTCTGTTCAGCTTTGTTCATTTTTCTCTAGAACAAGGACAAATGTTTTGTCAAGTATTTTTAAGGCCCAAATGAACAAAACATATCACGTTCTGGATCTAGAATTGGGTTTTCTTTCACAGTGGAGGGGCGGTCCACAGCCTTTCCCTCTTCCCATAGGACAAAAAAAAAATTCAAACTGTGATTGTGGCCTTTATAAGCTTATAGGCTGGACATCTAAGAGGTGTTTGGGTGTGGTTTGCTTCACTTAAAGTGGGACTTCCTTCCTAGTGGCTACTACTGATAGACCACCCTTGGACAAAAGTTACTACAGTGGAGGGCAATAAACTACTGACAAATTAATATGGCACAGGATTGCATTAAAGAGACCCCCTATTCCCCTCCCAGAGCTACAATTCCCAGAATTCCCTGGGAAGAGGGTTTTGATTGTTAAACCACTATGGAAATTGTAGCTCTGTGAGAGGATGAAGGGTCTCCTAACAGCTCTCAGCACCCTTAACACACAGCTGTTCCCAGTATTATTGGGGGGAGAAGCCATGCCCGTTTAATGCAATGTGATACTGTTTTCAATGTATAGCACAGATTGGGGGGGGGGGGCTTACTTAGTTTAGAGCAGGGTAGCCCAGCCACTCAGAACAAATGTTTCTGCCCCAAGACCCCACTAATATTGATGACAGCAGGTTATTAATAAAGGCTAATAGCTATCGATACCTTTTTACAAAAAATTGTCTAATCCGCAGGTAGCCAACATGGTTCCCTTCAGATGTAGCTGGATCAGCCAGCATGGCCAAAATTGGGAGCTGGAGTCAAAGCATCATAGAACTGTGGAGTTGGAAGGGACCCCAAGGGTCATCTAGTCCAACCCCCAGGATTCCAGGACTCTCAACTAAAGCATCCATAGCAGATGGCTATCCAACAACTGCAAGAAAACCTCCAAGGAAAGAGAGTCCACAACCTCCAGAGGGAGACCATTCCAATGACCAGCAGCTCTTACTGTCAGAAAGTTATTCCTGATGTTTAATCAGAATCTGCTTTCTTGTAACTTGGAGCCATTGGTTCAGGCCTTACCCTCCAGAGCAAGAGAAAACAAGTTTGCTCCACCTTCCATAGGACAGCCCTTCAGATATTTGAGGATGGCTATCATATCTCCTATTGCTGTCCTCTTTTCCAGGCTAAACATACCTAGCTCCTTCAACCAACAAAACATTTGGCAGGAGCCATGTTGGTGCCTCATTTAACTAGCATCCATCACGCGAGGCAACATAATAAGAGCTTGCTGAGTCAAGGGCATATCTAGTCCAGCTTCCTATAACTCACAGTGTTCAATCAGATGCCACTTCAGGGAAGCCCCAAAAGCAGGACCTGAGAACAATAGCTCTCCTCTCCTCGCTTGTAATTCTCCCGAACTGGTATTCCTCAGCGTTCTGCCTCTGACAGCAAAGGTAGAACTTAGCCACTATACCAATTTCCTTTTCCTTCATGAATTTTAAAGCTAACCAGCAAATGCCATTCACTACTTTGCACACTGAATGAAGAAGCATGGTGATTTAGTGGGCCTAAGTGCAGAGTGTGAAACAGGATGTATATTCAACTTTGGAGTGATCTGTGTTATTTCTGAGAATTTATTCTGGCAAGAAGGAAAGGGAACTATGCAATAAGCAAAACCATGCAAAAAAAAACCCAAAGTGGGGCATTAAAAAAGACAGGGCATCGAGGAAGCAACAAGGAGGGAACGGGAGGCAGGAAACATCACCCATGAGAAGCCCTGGCTGCAAACGGGAACGCAAAGCTAAAAGGACTAACAGAAAAAATATATATGCATAAAATATGATGCAAGATGTTCAAGCAAATAATAATAAAAAATTCAAGTCCTGAACATGTAGGAGTTTGCTGTAGGAAAAGCAAGCTGCGAGGCTCAGTGAGATACTGCAGCCAAGCTAATTTATCGGCATAGCAAAATGACATTTCCTAAAACAAGCTAAATGAATTACTCGCCTTGACGCTCCCAAAGGGACCACAGGGGGAAAAGAAGAAGAAAAAAGGGAACTGACAGAAAATGACAGATCACCGCCTTCCCAGCATGGTACAAGAGAGCGGTTCTGACAGAGATTCAGGCATGCGGGCCAGCAAAAACCCTGTCATGTGGTCAATGCAAATGGCAATCAAGCAGGCATCAGAGGAGAGCATTTCCACTCGGGATGATGCCACGAGAATCAAGATTCCTGGCTGTCAGCTTTACAAGCAAAAGCTGGACCAAACACTCAAGGCAGCCATTTGTTTCCAGCCACACTTCAAAGAGTTGGTGATTTAGAGCAAGGAAGTTAACCTCTTCTCTCTCTCTCTCTCTCTCTCTCTCTCTCTCTCTCTCTACAGGGGTTGCATTCAGTCTTGGTCAACCCTGCAGCCATGGGTGTGATTACCTCTTCAAGGTGTGACTACCTCTTCAAGGGGGGCAGGAATCACAAACTGATGTGGAAAGCAAATTCAAAATTGGAAAAAATGAGAAAGTGAGAAAATCTGAAACTGACCGATATGTCCTTCCTTACCAACAGCTGATTTGAGTAACGCCCATCAACCATTGTGAAGGCAAGACATAGCATATATGGGTGCTAAATATTTCTTAATACTGTCTCTGCTCAGCAGACTCTTCTTTGCCGCTGTAGTGCTTTCCCAATAAGGACTTGCAAAAAGCCAAGTGCAGCCTGCTGGAAAGGAACAGCATTAAGACACCACTGACGGCCCTGGAAGCAATGCTTCGCTGAAGCAGCTAAGACTGCAAAAAACACTCGCCAAATATAGCTCCTTGGACTAGAGAACCCAAATCCCAGGTGACAGAAAAAAACAGCTCTGCATGCGCTCCAAAACTGAATGCGAGATTCCTTAAGCAGGGCCAAGCCACGATCAGGACCAGGCAGTATCTGGTGATAGATGATCAGTTCCCTATTTCGCATTAAGCAGGTAGCACTGTGCTGTACTTTTTTTCTTTTCTTTTTTTAACCTAGCCAAAAACAAAAACACTGTGGGTCTCATTGCTGTTTTAGTTATCACTATGCTTTTTCTTCTCTCCCGTTTCCCCCAACCCCTGTCAAGGAAATACGCTGGTGATTTTAGTTGCAATATGGTCCAATGGTCTGGCTATGCATAATATCCACTCACCGCTCCAATGGTGACATGGTGTGTGCAGCCCAGTGTCCTCTCTACCACCATCTTCTGTGCCACAGCATGTGCCGGCTCTGGCAGCCATTGGGAAGTGTATTTACCTAGCTGGCAGCCTTGGAGATTCAAATTTCCATAAAGCATTTAAAAACCATATTGTCAGGAAAGCATTGTTTAATGTCTGGATAAGATACAAGGACTTATTGGAAAATAAAACCCCAAGGTGGTTGTCACCGATGGAAGCAAAAGCTCTGAAAAAGCTCAATATGGAGGCCAAATGGCCGAAATATTGGGAAATTCTGGAACAAGATGGAGATAGACTGAAATTGCAGAGTTTTGAGAAATTAAAAAACAAAGTGCGAGACTGGCTTCATTACTATCAGATAATGGAGGCATATAATTTGGACAAGAAAATTGGCTTCCAGGTGGAAAAATCAAAATTAGAAACAGAACTGTTAGAACCCAAAACTAAGATTTTGTCAAAAATGTATAACTTGCTGTTGAAATGGAATACTCAGGATGAAACGGTGAAATCTGCTATGATTAAATGGGCACAAGATGTTGGACATAATATTATGCTTGCTGACTGGGAACAGTTATGGACCACAGGTATGAAATTTACGGCATGTAATGCCCTAAGAGAGAATATTATGAAAATGATATACAGGTGGTACATGACCCCAGTCAAGCTTGCAAAAATTTATCATTTGCCCGATAATAAATGCTGGAAATGTAAAGAAACTGAAGGTACATTCTTTCACCTTTGGTGGACATGCCCAAAGATTAAGGCCTTCTGGGAGATGATATATAATGAATTGAAAAAGGTATTTAAATATACCTTCTTGAAGAAACCAGAGGCCTTTCTCCTGGGCATAGTCGGCCAATTGGTGCCAAAGAAGGACAGAACTTTTTTTATGTATGCCACAACAGCAGCAAGAATACTCATTGCAAAGTATTGGAAGACACAAGATCTACCCACTTTGGAAGAATGGCAGATGAAGTTGATGGACTATATGGAACTGGCAGAAATGACTGGCAGAATCCGAGACCAGGGAGAAGAGTCGGTGGAAGAAGATTGGAAGAAATTCAAAGACTATCTACAGAAATATTGTAAAATTAATGAATGTTAGAATGATGTTGGATAGAAATTAAGTGCTTTCCAGCTGTAATGCTTTAAGGGATTATGAAAAATGGGTTGTTAATAGGTAAAAATCTAACGTTACTATTTTAAGACCAAAGATTAAGATAAACAAAGAGGGTAAGGATTTGCTGAACCAACAAATTGAACTGGAATACAAAAAAGGGAGGTATGAGGAGGTCCGGGAAACAAGCTAAGGAAAAATAAGTAATGGAAAAATTGAGTGGTTTTTAATCATTTTTATTTTGTATTTTGTACTTTTTCTCTTTTTTTCTTTTTTTTCTTTTTCATTTTTATATTGTAACATTTGGAAAATCTCAATACAGTGGTGCCTCGCAAGACGAAATTAATCCGTTCCGCGAGAGTCTTCGTCTAGCGGTTTTTTCGTCTTGCGAAGCAAGCCCATTGACGGATTAGCGCTATTAGCGCTATTAGCGGTTTAGCGGCTATTAAAGGCTTAAAGGCTTAGGGGATTAGCTGCTAAAAGGCTATTAAAAGCTATTAAAGGCTTAGCAGATTAGATAAAGGGGGGGGGAGCGAAAAAAAAATCTCAAGACTTGCAAGATATTTTCATCTTGCGAAGCAAGCCCATAGGGGAATTCGTCCTGCGAAGCAACTTCAAAACGGAAAACCCTTTCATCTAGCGGTTTTTCCGTCTTGCGAGGCATTCGTCTTGCGGGGCACCACTGTAAATATCTTATAAAAAAAAAAAGGAGATTCAAATTTCCCACCCACGATATTGGACCAGTCATGGGTCAGCACAGGGACATGGCTGCTGAAGGCAGAAAGACTACTGGGAAGCGAGGCCAGCAGTAAACCAGCAGAATTTCCCACTCATCATGGTCAGATGCTTGGTAGCGGGGGATGGGGATGCCTATAATTACAGCAGCTTCCTCTACCCAACTCTCAAGCTTGCTCTGACACTCCACAGATGAGAATGCAGAGACATACCTAGGCTCTCTTGCATCCTTGCCAAGGAGCAGTATCGGGACCACCACCCCTTCTCTTGTGCTCCTCCACCAGGGTGCCCAAAGGAACCTGTGTGTATTGCTTGGCCACCCAGAATAGTGAGGGAGCAGCCTGGGGAGCATGTGAGTAGGAGGGTTGTACCATCCCAACTCCCTCCTGAACTAAGATCAGAAATTATTTACATCCATATTGGAATGCTGACTAAATTGTATTATTGTATTACTGCTCAAATTGTAGACCCCGATCAAACAGGGTTCATACCCAAAAGGAATGCTATTTTTCTAGAAGAAGAGGTGCTGGAACTCACCGTAAATGCCTCCCTCATTCTCTTATAATGGCAATGGCGCCCACATGAGAGGTGCCGGAACTGAGTTCCAGTGAGTTCAGGCTGACAAAAAGCCCTGCCCAAAATAAATATTTCAGACCCAGTCCTAAAATTAATTGTGGTTTATTTGGCCACACATTCTAAATCTCCTTTGGCTGTTTTGTCTCTAGATGCTTACAAAGCATTCGACTGTTTGGAATGACCCTTTTTATTAAAATTTATGGAGATACTCAGGGAAGCAGGTGGCGCTGTGGATTAAACCACAGAGCCTAGGACTTGCTGATCAGAAGGTCAGCAGTTCGAATCCCCATGACGGGGTGAGCTCCCGTTGCTCAGTCCCTGCTCCTGCCAACCTAGCAGTTTGAAAGCACGTCAAAGTGCAAGTAGATAAATAGGTACCGCTCCGGCGGGAAGGTAAACAGCGCTTCCATGCGCTACTCTGGTTCGCCAGAAGCAGCTTAGTCATGCTGGCCACATGACCCGGAAGCTGTATGCCGGCTCCCTCGGCCAATAAAACGAGATGAGCACTGCAACCCCAGAGTCGGCCATGACTGGACCTAATGGTCAGGGATCCCTTTACCTTTACCTTATGGAGATACTCAAATTAGGTTCTA